TTAAGACATGAAGCTACCTTCCCAGGCTAAGCAGCCCAGTTACATAGCCACTAGCCACACAGAACCATTTCCTATAGTTTAAAGGTGAAGTGAATCCCCCTCCCCCCGCCCGCTAGGCTCCTGTGTTTACTCACTTGTCCCCTAAAAGCGGCACAATTTGAAAAGGCTGTGGAATCATTAATAGGTAAAGCCTTGCTGGGCAAAAATCGCTGGGGGCGGGCCTTGGAGTTTTATAGCCCATCGCACTTCTTGTTCCCTCTCTGTTTCTGGACTGCAGGTGCCATACGAATGACTGGCCTATTCCTGCCGCCAGGCCTTCCTGACCGTAATGGAATATCTCCCACCAACTATACGCCAGAACAACCCCTTCCTTCTTTCAGTTGCTTTTTGCCGGACATCTCGTCCACAACAGTAAGAGCAGTGGCTGCTACTGCAGTTTCACTTTGTTAAAGTGCGAGGGCAAGCCCAGCCCCTCCATCATGTTCACACCAGGTCCTTCACAAGAGCTGCTTAGCCGCATGCGTGCAGTGTAGGCCCACCTGTCACCTCTTCTGAGAAGACTCCTGAAGACGTGGGAATAGAGGGGAAAAAAGCACCCCCTCCCATGCTAAGCATCCCTGGTCTTCCTTGCTTTATATTGTCATCTCCCTCTACCCACTGAGCTCCTCCTTGCTAGTGAGAGGCCAAATCCAAGCCATTTTTGTCCTACAGAGTGACTGGTACATGGGGGTGGGGGAACCACATACTTATTCCTTTCTTTTCCTTAAAAGAAACCTTGACCTAAAGCAAAAATAAGATGTAAGATGCCTATTTCACATTATTATATTTTTTTTAAAAAAAAAAAAAGCAGCTCTACCGCAGTCTCTTTATAGGTCCTGATCCCAGAGGCCCTCTGAGAAGGAACTGGGCTCTTTCCACGATCAGACTCCCTTCCTGTCTTTTAGAACCAGAGCGAAGCGGGCTGGCAAGAGGCACTATTGTACCAGCTGATTTAAATTGAAGTGTTTTCCCCAGATAAATGTGTGCTAAATAATACACCAGCTCTCCAAGCCAAGGGAAGTGACAGGCACTCTGTAAATAAAGGCACTTAGTTGCTGGTAAAGAGCTGTAAAGTGGTTCCGAGTTGATGTTTGCTGACCAGCAAGAAGCAGCTTCACCTGCTTTATGTAATTGTCACCGCAGCTTTGCCTGCTGTATATTAAAACTGCATCTCATAGACCCAAATGTCACATTGGATATACCATCCCACATGGAAGATGCCACCTTCTGCTGTAATTGTTTTTGACAACCAGCCATCACATCTCCTCTCTTTTCAGAAAGTGTCTGGTGCAGAATCCCTACGCTGGGTCAGTTCTGACACCATGTGGGCTAGAAAAGCGGCGATAAAGGGGAAGGTGAAGGGAAGCCAAGAGTAACACGCCATGGCAAGTGCGCAGACACAGATCCTCACCACAGAGGCTGGGCTCCCTCAATGTCAGTATGCCCTTTTCTTGTTCAGCTGCAGCACTACAGAACAACAGCCCGCATGAGCACTCTGCCACAAGAGCACAGCATTCTCCTCCGTCCACATGTCTGAACCCAGCTGGGTTCTGGAGAAAGAAAAGCATGGCTCATGCGTGGGTCAAGGCAGTTGTGGGGTTTTGTCAAGGACCACAGGACACATCATGATGAAACTGGCCCAGCGGGTGCTAGAAACCTCTTTGGTTTTCACTCAGGGGATGTGAGATCTATTTCCCAAAATGCAAAGAGCAGCATGATGCCTTTGTTGCCTGTAATTGCAGCTTCCCCTGGAGTGTGGACCTGTCAGATACCTCGGTGGAGAAGCAAGTATGAGGCCGCTGGGGATACGAGCTAGTCAAAGAGGTCTCAGAGAGGGGAAACAGTAAGGACATTCAGCTCCCCTATCTAGTGCATGGCCAAAAGGAACTCAAACAACTGGGTACAGGGTGAGCTCCAGAGGTAAGCAGTGGGAGGAGACACTTCTTGCTGTTGGAACTGCCACTGGACCACTGCTCTGGGGATATCAGAGTGATGGCCAGAGCCCAGTAATGGGGTAGGAGATGACAGAGTGAGAGAGAAAAATGGAGTTCTTGGCTACCAAGTGATGTGGGATTCCCCTCCGTATGCTGTGAATGTGATTGGTTAATTAATAAAGAAACTGCTTTGGATCTATAGCAGGGCAGAACTTATGTAGGCAGGAAAAACTAAACTGAAGGCTGGGAGAAAGGAGGCAGAGTCAGAGAGAAGCCACATAGCCCACCAGAGACAAATGCTGGGAACTTAAACCCAATAAGACACAGCCACATGGTGATACACAGATTAATGGAGATGGGCTAAATTAATATGTAAGAGTTGGCCAATAAGAAGCTAGAGCTGATGGGCCAAGCAGTAATTTCATTAATATAGTTTCTGTGTGGTTGTTTTGGTTCTGGGCAGCGGGAGCTCCTTCTCGCTATTCAGGATGCATAGACATCCGGATCAGAACTTCTGATTCATATGGTGCCCTTTTCCTTCATCTCCCCCAAGTAGTGGGAATGTTAGGTATTTCTAAGGTCTTTTTGATACAGGTACCAATCCCTTTGGAGAGCACTGTCTTCATGACTTAGTTACCTCCTCAAATTCTCACCTTTCCAGACTACCCTATCTCAGGTTAGCATTTGAATACACAAACAGTTGAGAGTCCAGAAGTCAGACCGCCTCAGTGTGTGCACTTACACACACAAAAGAAAGACATCCCTTCCTTCTTCTGAGAGAAAAAGGAATGTCTCTTCTCCCTCCATATCTCTTGCTGGAACTTATTCCCTTTGCTTATTCCTGATTTCCTTACTATCAAGGCCTTTGAGCATAGGGGGAAGGGGGGATTTTGTGAGTTGGGATATTATACAGAATTTGAGGTAGGATGAAGCTTAAAGGGAGCTGGATGGAACATCTTTGTAACTACACATGGGTGCATTGCCAAACATCTGCAGACCTTGGGGTCATCATCATACCGAGAGGACACAGACAGGCAGGTGGAAGGAAGGGCTTCCCTGCCTTCTTCTGCTCTCACTGTCTCTACCCAAAGGGAGAACGGTTCCTTTCAAGCCTTTCCAGCTCCTTCTCTATTCTCTCCCAGGACAGGAGGCATGTCTGAACTAGTTGATCAGCGTGTTCAGTGCACTGGGTTTGTTAGTGTGAAGATTTCAATAACTTTAGAGCAGCTTGTACCAGTCACCCAGGGAGCTCATTAGAATGCAGACCCGACAGGTAGTTTAAGATGGGCCATGAGAAGATGCATCTCCAACAAGCTGCCCTAGGTGATGTTCACACCAGGGTGAAGGCGAGGAAGACAAATTAAAGAGCAGGGGCTTAAAGGCAGGTACCACATACCAGCTTGTTGACTTCACCTCCAGGAAGGTGAGTTTACTATCTTTCCACATCCTTCCTCCCCAGTGCTTCCCAGGCAAACTGGGAGGAAGAAAGTTCTATGTCCTGTGTGTGCAGCCTGGCAGAACTTAGAGTCTGTTTCAGGGCCTTGACATGTTGCTCTCTTGCATGGCTGTGCCAAGGTCTACATTTGGGAGTATCAGGCATGATGGTAGAATGAAGAGGCAAGGTTGTGTCAGAAAAAAAATGGAAGCAAGAAGAGACTCATCTAGAACAAGAGACTGAGTCAACCTTCGAAGAGTTGCAGAAACCCAAGTCAAGGAGGCCCTGATTCCCCATTCCACAGGAAGAGCAAAGAGGGGGCGTTACAGCTGTATCTACAGCTGCTGTGAATGGCAAGACTCCCCGGGGAAGGCCTGAACCTCTTCTCCCAGAGCCCAGCAACAAGGCCACTGACTCTCTGGACACTCTTGCAAGAGTAGCTTTGAACATCACCGCTGCTTATGGCCCCCCTGTAAGCATTAAGGCCTTTCCTTCCCTTTCACTTCCCCAGTCCCTCCTCAGCACCCCTCTTCACTGGCCAGCTTTCCCGGATGGCAGTGCACGGAAGAGAGCCTGCAGCAGGGAGCTTTACAGGTGCTGCCGTGTCTTGGCCATGCTGAGCAGAAGCTAGACGTGACTGGTAATGCTGGGCTGCTCAAAGAGAGCAGAACACCAAGGTCTTAGCTCCACAATGCAGTCAAGCTTCCAGAAAGGGATGCTTGTGAAGGCCACCCACCAATAAGGAGCTTCCTGCCCTAGCATCTGCAGTCCTCACCGGCTTTGCTTCTCGGAATGATAGGGCTCCAGTTCAGCAGTCAACCATACCCATCCAGCAGGCCCTGCATGACCTACACAGAGCTGTCACACAGAGGAAAATACTTCATCTCCTTTCCTTCCTGATCTTGAGGCCCAAGGCCACTCATTATGGGGTTACTTGCTGCGCTGATTCCCTGAGACTACAACAAGGCCTCTCTACTTTAAACCACCTGTCCAAACTTCCAGAGTAAATGACAGGGAAGATTGGGGCCAAAAGAAAAGGCAGCTGTGTGTCACTTAAGGTCTCTGTGCCTCCTACAGTAAAATGCACAGGCCAACAAGCATCATTCCTTGCTACATGACTTCAAGTATTCTCCTCATCCCTACTCTTTAGAGATCTCCAATCTTAGGAGTCTTGGATGTGACCCTAACCGTAGCAAAGCTTAACACTCCCATTTAAGCTCCATGGAAAAGTACTCACAGGGAAGGGACGGAGAAGTATACAGCTAGCATCTTTAATTGCTCTGGCACTTAGGCAGTGACCCTGGTCATACACCCCTTTGTTTGCAATGGCCAAGAGGGTGATTATTTAAAAACTCTTTTATTGCATGAAAAGGCAACAAACTGGAGGGAGGAAGACATACAGCAGGGTTCAGGTCTACATCTCCAGATGGCAGGAAGAACAGATGCTCCTCTCTTAGCCATTGTGGCGACCACAGGTTTCACTGCCAGACAGGCTGATGTGAGCCTCTTTGAATTACTGAGTGAAGGATATCCCTCTTGCCAGCCCCTGTCCCCCATAGGCACAGCAGAGAAGTATTACAGGCTGTCCTTACCTTGGGAATTAGCCTGCAAGACCCCGATGCTGTCATCAAACTGCATAGATTTGATGTTGAGTGACGCCAAGATGCATTCCTTGTCCTGAAGCGAAGTATCATCAATATTATTCTGATTGGCTGACAGGATAACGCACATGTCACAGAGGTTGATGTTGACAGCCCTTAAATCAGCCCGACTTAATGGCGTACCCTTTGGCATGGGGGTGGAGAGAGAGAGAGAGAGAGAGAGAGAGAGAGAGAGAGAGAGAAAGGGAGGGAGAGAGAGGGAGAGAGGGAGGGAGGGGAGGGAAGGGGAGGGAAAGAAGAAAAAAATAAAAACAAATTAAAGATTGAGCTGGAGCTTTGGGACATTATTTAACAAGTATCTTTTTTATGTCTTGACATTAAGCTGGCCTAACTACATTTCAGGGAATAAGGGCTGCACGCTAATCTAAAGGGTAGTCGGTGCTGATGGCAGCATTTCAGGCCAGCTCTCAATACTCAATCAAGCTATTACTAACAAACGCGAGACGAATAATGCCAGGGTCTCCATCTTCCTCCTGCCTGGAAATTGTCTTGATTTAAGTAACTGTCCTGTGGCAACCTCTGCCTTTCAGAACATAACGAGGGGGTGGGTTTCAAATGCCTGTTTATTTAATAGCAGGTCACTTCTGTCTCTGGCAAAAGACAGCATATCCGATTAGAATTTCCAAAGCAGCCATGGGGAAATCAGCAAAACAGGGTGTGATGAGGTGGGCTCCTGGCTCTGCTCAATCGGAAGGCTGCAGGAGCCAGTGGAATCAGTGTGCATTTGCAAAGGAGAGAGGACAAGCTTAGGGCCGTAAAATTTTATTTCATATTTTTCAGTAATTAAAAAAAGCCAAGGAAACTACAAAATTATCCGACAACATAAGATTTTGGACATACCTATATAGTCGACACGTGGACTGCAAGGAGAGCCAGAGCTAGCCCTCCATATACCCACTGAGAGGGAATCATCTCCAAGATAAAGGAAGAGTAACTGGTGGGAGGTGGGGTCGAGAACAGTCTAAAAGTACAGCCTCATTTATTTGAAAAAATGAAGCTGTTTGAAGTAAAAATTATATATTTATAAAAGTATGCAAATTCAGAGAAAACTCAGGAAAAACTATACACTAAACTAATAACAGTAATTACCTCTGGGAGAGGAAAGGATGAAGTGGAAAGTTTGCTTTTGACTTTATATACTTCTATATTGTTTGAATATTTTATAACAAGAACAGATTTGTATATTACTGGTGTAATTAAAAATAAATAAGCCAGTAAACAGAGATTTAAAAAACCCATGACAATGTGAGACAGTAGAAAATCCTTTGCAGACCCAAGGTTGATGATGGAGAGCCATCACAGATATGATAGGACCAGCATACTTACACAGTGTCCTCCCAAGGACGTCCCAGTAGAACTACCTGGACCATCCCGTTTCAGAGCACTCAGCAGCCATACAGCATTATTTTGTGGGTCCCATTGAGCCATTAGCGTCACTGATATTCTAGATTTATTTAAAGTTTTCCTTAAAATCGGATATGGATACACCAGTTGCCTTCAGCCTACAGCCTGCATTAGTATCTGCCAGCTGCTGTATGTATCTCCTCTGGTTTCTATCACTGGATGGGCTTGGGAAAATAGGACTTGGATAGTACCATGGAGCCCATCAACTCTTTCTATGACTCAGTGGATGTCAGGATTCCAGGGCTCCTAAATATTGCTACCAAGTGGAGCCACAGAGTAAGGGCAAGTAGGGCCATAGGTACAAGAAAGGTCCTGGTCCAGGTACTTGAGCAGTACCTTGAGAGAAGGAGAGAAAAATCATCTTCTATGATCTCTTGGCACAACATTAAGTGTGACCAACTTTCTATATCACATTGCTATGTATAAACGGCAGCTGTCTATATCCATATTCTCTTAATTTTCACCTTATAGGAAACTCAGCATGTCCAGTTGTAGACACATGAGTTCTAACGACAAGAATACCAATGACACCCACAGAAAGCTTTTGCGTTTCTATCAGTTGCTCCCATTTGAATGACACAGTTTAAACAATGAAGACACGGACCAGACTTATAATGTACCTGTGCTTAAGTGTGCTAGATTTGGGGGGATTTGCAAAGGCTCTACAAATAGGAGACTCATCCCGACTTGTAGAGGAAGGTGAGTAAATGGGCATGGGGCACACAGAAGGAAACACACACGTATGCACAAATACCAAAGGTCATACCACAAGCCCCATCTATATACACATACATTCATGCATCTAGCATATTAGTTCGCTTTTAACAGCGCTAACTTCAGAGGTCAAGGGATCGCATGGAATAGCACATGTAAGATGATAATCACAGAAAGGTATAATCAAATTGACCATATTTCTGAATCTAGCAATGTACATACAGTATATGTGTATGCTCATCCAGGGAGTGAATTGTAACACATGACTGTCTTCAACTACATGCATACTTAAAGCCATCAGGTTTGGATCCTACATCCAAAGGAGATATGCTTAATGCTTCTTGCACTTTTTGATCCATATGGGGTATTTGTACCAAGCATTATGGGAGATACATATGGCTACAATGGAGTGCGGACTGTAGACAGCTCCTTATAGATTCTTTAACACATTATAGTGCTTAGCTCTTGTTGCTGCATTACTGAGGCTCTGGAAGCTGATAAACAGTAGAAAAACCTAAGAGGTTGCATATCCCTAAATACTATAAATTAAAATTAACGAAATAGTTGGAGGAGCCAGGCAGTGCTGACACACGCCTTTAATCCAAGCGTTCAGGAGGCAGAAGCAGGCAGATTTCTGTATATTCAAGGCCAGAACAGCCAGAGATACATTGTGAGACCTTGTCCCGAAAATCCAAAAAGGAAAAAATTATTAGAGGATAGGTAATATTTTCCTGAATTTGTGACATAGACAACCACATAAAATTTTGAAAAGAATAATATTCTGTAAGTTTATAATTTGGTGGAGAATATATTGTCTTTTGAAAGTGGCTAGTTATATGACTTTTAAATCATTCATCTCATACCTTCACATTAAACAATGGAGTTCCAAATTGTCTTTTGTAGATTGGTGTCCTAGTGATCTTTGTAATAAATATTATATTATACATTATAATGTTTAATATATTATAATTATACATTATATATAATTATATTATACATTATAATATTATACATTACACGTATATGCATATATGTTTGCATATGTACACATATACACACAAAGTCATGGAAAATAAAGGGTGGGCAGAGGTTGGTCCACAGAAGAGGTTTCGAATTTCATATAGTGGATTTAATTCTCCCCTTTATTTATTTGGTCAATACCATAAGGAAGATGCGACAGATCAGCATTTTTCTAAGAATTAACCCCATCAAATTAAAATGCCAAAAGGAATCTTATCAGTGAATTCTCGATGTGTATATCAAAACAGGGCAACATTCTAAATTTCACCTAGGAAAGAGGATTTAGACACAGGTATGGCTAATGCATGCGGTGGTAGCTCAACTTCACCCCTGGCAGGAGGCTGTACTTGGCTGCAAATTCCTTTTAACAAGGCCTCCCAGGGTTCTGACTTTCTTGGCAGAGCACAGGAGGACTGTTGCATCCTCAGGCCTGAAACCACATGAAGGAGCAGAGGCAGGATCAAAGCTTCAGCAATTACAGCCACCTGGGATTCCCTTTTGTGAATGAAAAGATGAAGAGCAAAACATCAAATAGTGTGACCTTGACTTACAGGCAATATGGACACTTTGGGGAAGTTGTGCAGTGTTTCCCACTCTCGCTTGAGGTACTCGATGGAGCCCACAAACACAATGTGTTTGAGCTCATGGTAGTGAAAATTGCTAGCACGGAGCGGCATCACCAGGTTCCGGAGGCCAATCAGGGCTGAGCTGACATCCCCAAAGATACAGACTACAACATGGCCACTCAGGACAGTCATGGCGGCTTCACTTCGAGTCTGTAACAGAGGGAAGTGCAAGACTATCAGAGAGGAGAGCTCACAACATCAATATAAAAATAAAAAAGCAGCATTTGTGCAAAGGAGAAAGTTAGTATTGGTTCTGTGCTTACTATGTTCTATTGGTGTGATTTAGGTATGCTCTGGGTGTCCCCCACGGGCCCATTGTTATCAAAGTCTTTGTCTCCGGGGTGGCATTACTATAAGGCAGAAGGCCTATGAGTTGAAGCCACACCTTACTGGAGGTAAGAGAGTTCTCATGTGTCCTCTTGAGTTCTCCAGAAATGATCAGTATGAAAAGAGCAAACCTGGACAAACCCATCTCATTCCTCTCTGGTGATGTTTGCTTCTACACATTCCTGCTGTGATCATCTACCACCCAGCAACCTTCGCAGAGACCAGGCAAATGGGGCAGACTTTGAACCTCTTCAAAACTGTAAGCCACCTTTTCTCTTTATAAGTTAGCTGTCTCAGGTATTTTATCATAAAACCACAAAGATATCCAACACAACTATTATTTGTGCTGCAATAAAACAAATGTTTGATTTAGTTCACAATAACAGAAAATAAGCTATTCTTCAATAGCAAATATAATATTGCACAAGGTACCCTTTCTAATGGACAAAAGTATACTGGGGGAAAGGGGAGGAGGACAAAAAGATAAAACTCAGCTTGCCATATGAGTCATTTTATAATACCATTTTTTTAGGAAGTCAAAAGGTGGTTTAAACCTCCATCTCCATCATGTTAAAGAGCATATAAATTTTTCTGGTAATTTTAGTGTATACAGTAAGTATACATGCAGAGAAAGCACCATTTTTTCCTTCTTGATTCTATTTACTGTTAAAGAATATATAAAATAATACTAGCAAGGCTTATAAGACAGCTATTATTCCTACTTTGGCATTATATGCATGTTATCTATTCATCTCTAATTTGAGCAAGGGCATATACTATATATATTTATCTCATAAATTCCTGTACACATATACCCACACATTACCACCTTATTGAACAACAGATTTAAGAAGTATGTGCCATGTAGACCTTTGAGCAGGAGACAGTGTATATAAGTCTTTAGGAGAACAAAGAGAAGAAAAGGGATGTTTACATATGTGGGAAGGGAGGCCTTAATGTTCATGGCACGGTTGATAAAATGAGATGCTCTTTTAGAGCCTGTAGTGAAGGTGATGATTGAATGGTCCTGCTCATGGGTTTGTCTCAGCTGAAGTGCAGGGTTCTCTTGTAAGATGTTTCAGTGAGATGGCACAGTCCATCCCTGTATCAGTAGATAGAGTGTGACATCTGAGGCCAGAGGCTAGCTGCTCTGGCCTGTAGCCTTGATCTGATAACACCTCACAAGCTTCTAGACATCCACTGAGTGAAAACTAGCTTTTAAAATTCACAATGACTAAGAAGAAAAACAAAATTAGAAATATCATTATGAGTGACAATAATATGAAATTCACATCCCAATAAAGTTACATTGGGACACGGTCAACTCAGAATGTTTAGGTATTTCCCATGGCTACTTTCATGGAAAGTAGAATTGACAGTTGTGACAGAGATCGTATGGCCTGCGAAACTTAAATCACTGAATATGCTCTTCTATAGAAAAAGCAGCCGGGCAGTGATGATGCATGCCTTTAATCCCATCACTTGGGGAGCAGAGGCAGGCAGATCTCAGTGAGTTCAAGGCCAGCCTGGTCTACAAAGTGACTTCCAGGAAAGCCAGGGTTACACAGAGAAACCCTGGAGAGAGAGAGAGAGAGAGAGAGAGAGAGAGAGAGAGAGAGAACATTAACCCATGTTCAGACGTTGGGGTTTCCTGGATCATTCCTAGAAAGGCTTGCCTTATATAAACACCCACAAGTAGTCATTACAAGGGTCTAGAGTTCAATCAGTGAAGATAGAGGCCAATGTCTTTCCCCAGCCCCAGTCCTGGATCCACAGGGGTGATAAAGTAAGGAACACGCCTATGTAGGGGAGGACATAGGACCCCGATTATCCAGAAAATACAAATGGCTATCTGTCCATTGCTGGTCTACTGTTGGCCATCCAGGTGAAAAGAACAAGAGACCGAGGTCAGGATGGGGGTGGTGCTCTGATTCTCCTTCTAGTCAACACTTCCATCCTGCCTGCCATCTTCACTCACTGCATGCTCATAAGGCCTATGGGGCTCACAGTAGATCGGGGGAGGCATATTCATGCCCACTGCACATATCAACCTCTGTTTGATTTAATCCTGAGCATTGATCAAGGTATTGATTGCTTAAATGCCAATATTGTAATTCATGACAATGTCAGGGTTATTACAGTAACCCCTGAGGAGAGGAGGAAGCTAGCTTTTATTCTCTGGTTGTTAGGATAAAGCAGGAGCTAGCATCATTGCTGCTTTCCCAGAGTAGAAGGGAAACCTGAGACACAAGCTGTAAGACATTTCTCATGGAAAGTGACCGAGGAGGCTCCCAGCAACTCTTCCCACCTTGTGGGGAAGACAAAGAGTTAGTCAGTCAGGTTGCATGGAAGCCCTCTGGGGTTGTTATCACTGAAGTTCCTGAATGTTTTCAAATGGCCTTGTCACCTAAGAAGCTAGTTCTCAACAGGGAAGTGCAAATGGGGTGAAGAATAGAAGCTGGAAATCAAAAATGCAAAAAAAGAGCTAGGCACCAGCTGGCAGATTGGTCCACGCACAGAAGCTAGCCTTGGGATCTTAGGTAGGTCTGGGGCAACTACCAGTTCTTTAGTCTGCCAGAGCTATACCCCCAGAGGGAGGTGTAAAGGTGCAGTCCTGCACCTCAAGTCTGATTTGTCCACGCTTAAGATCCAACAGAAAAAACAGGCATTTCTCCATGCACCCTCCGCCAACCCCTTCTGAGTAGGTTTACTTATACTTGATGGGACATCCCTGACTACTTTAATCCACGAATCTAAAGAATCTGAGTTCATCCCACTTAGCTCAGAAAGTTTGTTTTATGGTTCATTTTATATTTCCTTTCCAAACAGAGGACTGTCTCTTCTATATCCGAATTGCCCAAAGCCATTAGATTCCAGCACTCAGAGGATAAACGGCTTGTATAAGCATCTTCACACAAGTGCGGCATCCCATTCTTCTCATCTACCCACTGGATGAAAATTCCATCTACTCATTACTACAGAGAGGGTTTCTTGGATCCTACTGATCAGTAGCACCTTGGACTCCATCCTTCCCAGGATCCTTCTTTATTTGCTTCACCAAGCCCTCGCTCATACCTAGCTTGTTCCCATGGACTCACTCGTCCCCCACTGGCCTTCCCTCTGCTTCACTAGAATGAAAGTTCTGCACATCATCAGAACAAGAACAGTACCAAACACATGGTGTGTTTGCATCAATGCTTCCTCAAGTGATGCTACTTTTTTCAGATGAATTTGTCCTCCCTAAATTCCTTCCTTCTATAAGGGGATACTAACCACATGTCAATTAGCACATTTTCTGTAGATCATTCTGAACCCAGGTGAAGCACACAGCATATCATTAAGCCATAGGTGAGCAACTACAGAGACTCTAAGTGGTTAGAACTCTCGCTCCCCTTCTGGCAAATCAGCAGCGGCTGTTTGCTGAGCATTTGACTTCATGTACTGTAGCCTGCAGTTTTCACAACTCTGAAAACCTCCAGCACAATGCTATATTGGCTCACAATGCTCATTTACAATTCATTTGAAAACACACACTGGCTAACATACAGTGGGGGAAATCTAGTGGATTAGCACACAAAACAATTTTAAGCACCTGGAATAGTCCTTGTTAAGGAAGGGTGGTCCTAAAATTGAAAATGATAGTATTTTCCTAGCTGAATATGGAGTAGGCCCACAGCCATCTGGGGATTAGACGCACAAGGGAAAAAGAGTCCTGTCTGACTGGCCTTCCTGACTAGCAATCCATTTTTCATGGATTAGCAAAACAATAAACTCTAGGGAAGCCTATGTAGACATTAAAACCTAAAGTCATTACCAGGACAAACAGAAAGAGTACAATGGATTGCTATCTGTGCTAAGGTTCCTGGGACAAGACAGGAGAAGCCTGCTATTTCTACAGATGCTCACAAGCCAGCGCTAAAGCAGTACTCTGAGATCCGGATGGTGGACCACGGTCCTGCAATGGCATCCTCAGCAAATGCACTTGCCTGTCTGTATCATGTGCTAAGGACTGAAAACGTGTTAGTTAAGAAGCATGACTGTAGGTCTGGGGAGATGGTTCGGTTGATAAAGTTAACTGCCACATAAGCTTGAGAATCTGAGTTTGATTACTGGTACCCACACTAAACATAAAAATCTGGAGACAGCTGAACCAAGCTCATGGAAACTTATGAACTCTAGACCAACTCTGTGGAGCCTCTGTGGGACTAAACGGGGCCCTCCGTATGTGGGAGACCGTGGTGAAGCTCGGATTATCTGAGGGGTCCCTGGCAGTAGGACCAGGATCTATCCCTGGTGTTTGAGCTAGCTTGTTAGAGCCCATTCCCTATATTGGGATGCCAGGTCCAGGCCCAACGCAGCAGGAAGGGGCTTGGCTCAGCCTCAACTTAATGCCCCAGACTTTGTTTACTCCTGATTGGAGTCCTTGCCCATTGGGAGGAGTAGATGGGAGGGGGGACCGAAAAACTGGGTTAGAATGTAAAATAAAACTTTAAAAAAGTAAAATAATTAAAAAAAAAAAGCTGGATGTAGTGGAGCATGCTGAAAATTCTAGTGCAAGGGAGGTGGAGACAGGATCCCCAGAGAACCGCTGGCCCTCCAGTCAAGCTGAATCGCTGAGCTCCAGGTCCAGGGAGAGACCCTGACTCAAAAGAGAAAGTAGAGAATGGTTGAGAAATATACCTGATATTGGTCTCTGGCACATGTGTGTGCACACGTGCAAACACACACACCAAGTGCGCGCATGAATATACATATACCAAAAAAAACCCCAAAATTTATTATAACAGAAAACAATGCAGTTAATATTACGAGAATAATCATGGCACTAACAACAGGGAAGCAAGGCGGTGCCTCTGTGGACTTCCACAATCATGAAGTTAGAGCAGTTCCCATCGTCTCCTCACAGTGCAATGTGATTAAAATGCACTGTCCGACAACTGGCCTAAGGCCATGAAACTACCAGATGGCAGAGCCAGATGAAGACCAGGAATGGCACGCATCCCTCCTCCCATGAGACCGTGTGACAGGACATAACCACTACTATTGTCCTGATGAAAATGTAGAGATTGAAAATTCTGCTCCTGAGAGAAAAATTAATAAAATTCTCCTCTAAGTTTAAGTTCTGATCCGAGACCTAGTCACTTCGATCTTTGCTCAGAATTTTAGTTATCAAAAAATAGCTATGCCAAGTTACAGTGGATTCCACTACTCGGTCAGGAAATCTTTACTCTGAGCAAAAGTCATCAAGCCAAGCACAGGGGAAGGACACCAATTGCACATTCCCTTACTCACCAGGATGACTTTCTCGATCTCCTTGGGTGCACACCAGTGAAACATCCCAGTGGAGTCGTACTTCTTCACATTGGAGTCCATGTTGTCAATCTGATCATTGCCAGGGATTAACAAGGGGTCATGCCTGGGGAGAAAAGGCAGGAAACCCTAAGTGGAAAATGCGATAAATAATAAATGCAAAGGTTCCCCGAGTTACATCTCAGAGGAGATGACAGATGCCGAGAAAGTGACTGTCACCAATGGCCATCTTCCTTCTCTCCTGCAGAGCATGTCCCCTGAAAGGCAGCTGCCCCAACCACACACCCCTCTGGATGGCACTTGACTTTGTCAGGTAGTAATTCTGCCTTTCTCCTGCCTATTTTGTAAATGCGCTTCATGTCACTTTGTGGGGTTAGCTTCACTTTTTATGATTATCTCATTCCTTGTTGTCTCATTTTACTAGCGATCCAGTTTCCCCAGCACACACATACACACACACGCACACATGCACACTCACACACTCATACCCCAAAGAGTTGCTATTAGCATTGGCAATGAAGAGGAAGGAATAGGAATAGAGCATCATGCTGGCTGACTGGCATCAGGATGGAAAGCCAATTACTCGCTCTTTCTGACTACAACTTCTGACACGATGCTCTTCGCAGTAAAAGCTTTAACAGGCTGCACTTTAAATATTTTAGCAATTTGCCCAATCAGATTTTGCTCTCCCCAGCTGAAGGCCTTTAAAGATTCAACAGCGTGTCACTTCGGAGCAGATTGACTACCAAATGCCCACATCTGGAATACATGATTTCAATACTAAACAACACCCTCTCTCCTCGCCTTGACAACTGTATTTGTGCTTAACTGTCCAATGACAGGGCTCTGCATCCCCACCTTCAATTCCCAAAGTAGCATTCCTTGGATGAGAGCCTCAAGCTCTGATGCATCTTAATAAACTTGTTTCATACTCTGAAGACTACATCCACTCCTTCTGGAAGAATGGCTGTATAGAAGCTGCCCCTAGAGTGAGTTGGCAGGGTCTAACTGACAACCTTTGGAACTACAATGAAATCAGGCAGCTCTACCATGCCCACAGCATAATAAACAAGCCCTCCAGCTCAGGTTATAGTCATCATCTGTGGCTCTATCTTTGATATGGTCAGCCACTGAGCGTGTGGCAAGGTCTTGTTGGCAACTGCAACAACAAACCACATAAAATTGAGATATTATCCGAGGCAGATCTATCCTGCAACAAAATTATCCTTAAGCAAACTTCGACCAAAGACAGAAACAGATTCAAATTTCAAAATGATATAGTGTTGTGATGTTACCTTTAAAATGATCTATTTCAAACATTAAAGAATAGTATTCATTTAAGCTTTTATATTTCTCACCAAGACATGCCTCGTGTTTCTCATCTCTGTGCTCGGAATATAAAGGGTAGAGCAGCAATCTCTCCAATCTAGTCTAATGACGGAATTAAGCTTTTGGATCTCTAGCATGACCTGTCTAGTACGCCTTCCACACACAAAGATAGAAACTCGGTGTGTGTTTTTATTCTCAGCGATTTGCTTTGAGGCCACAGCAAATGACAAATGCCATGTGATGAGATCCTGTGGAGCCATCTTCAAGGAGCATGCTAGATGACTGCAGGAACTGTCACATCTGATCTTTAAAGGAACAGAACGACCCAATTCAGAGTAGCGTTGCAGTGGCCCAGTTGCTGAGAGGTCTTCAGGGGTCATAGAGTACTAGGACACCTTTCACATACAAAGCTGTGTCCAAAAGTGCTAAAATAAAGGTCAGTAAGATTGATCATTGGGTAAAGGTGCTGGCTGTGCAAGTCTTGACACTTGAGTGTGATCCCTGGAAGCCGTGTAAGGTGTATAGAGAGAAACGACTCCGTGCGGTTGTCCTCTGACTGCCACACACAAACTGGCATTTGTGTTCCCACACCTACATACCATGAATACACCCATGCACCCCCCACAAAGTAAATAAAAATAAAAAAAACATAAATGCTAAAAAGGGGCAACTATTGATTCAAATACTGATTTGAACGGGTCACAGAACATGACAAAAGCATCATTTGATGGTCTGGAGACAAAGAGGTGGTGGTTAGTGGGTAAAGAGCTTGCTATACAAGCATAAGAACCTAGCTTCAAGTCCTGGCTCCTATAGAACTGCGGCTCATGACTGCTTCCCCAGAAATGAAGGAAGAAGACAGGCGGGTCCAGGGAGCTAACTGGCCAGCCAGTACACCCTAGTTGGTGAGATTTCTGTAGAGACCTGTATCAAAGACTAAAGGGGACAGCAATAAAAGAAGACATATGACCTCAAGCTCTGCCCTCGACATGCACGCACAGGGGTAACCACCCCCAACGTTTACATACACATTCACACAAAATACACACATACACACACACACACAGATACACACACACACACACACACACACACAAACACACACTTTAGTACATGAGGGGCTTTCTTATTCACCTTTGAGAAATCTTGAATAGTTCCATAGATATCCAGCATCTGTCATAGGTAGGTGTACAAAAGCTACCATAAAGAAGAGGGTTTAGAAAGTAAAGTCTTTTTTTCAGCCCTTGAAGAACATGTTTTGGGTTGCAAGAGAATCTTAAACTTGCACTGAAGATGGAGTCGAGTTCATATTCTTTTGTCCTTATTGTTGGTGGGAAAGAGGGTATTGTCTTAAATTTCAAATGCCTGGGACCCACTTCTAGTGCATTTAGATCTTAAAAGATAGTCAGGACCATATTCACATATTCCCAGGTAAGCTGAAGGTAAAACAGGGAGGCAAAAATTCATTGAAAAAGAAATATGCCCTGGGAGAGAGGTTGATGTGTTTTGGCTTGGAACAATACATTTACTCTTGAAGGTATGTCTGGGTAAGAATGCCCTGTAACCATGGTAGAAAAGGAGAAAAATGGATGGACAATTGCCCATCACTGAAAGAAAAAAGTGACAATAAATGTTAATTATAAACTAACTAAGGATGGACTTTAGGGAAAGCACCTAGGGTTTCAAGCCACGATTTGTGCTCTAACATTCAGAATCATGCAGCAAGTCTCCGGGGAGCATCACATAGACTCTGTCCTTCACATAGCTCTCTGAGTCTAGCCTAGATTTCACCAAGGATGTCCCACAAAGGGTCTGATTTGAGAAACATGAACACGAACACACAAACACACACATAACACACACTAAAGAAAAAAGAAAGAAAGAAAAGAAGAGAAAAGAAAAGACATCTCCCTGAATGAATTTACTTTGGAGAACAGACAGGGCACCTGGAATTCCAACTTTGGTCTCTTTAATCAATAAAGTTATCAATAAGCATGAGATCCCTATTCTAAGCCAGCAAAGGAGGATGTAACAACGCCAAGGGAAGGTTCACATGTAGCAAGAAAAAAACATAAGTCAAAGGTCATGGTACACTAGGGTGTGTGCTATAGTAAATTAGCATGCAAGACAATGTGGCTGTAAAGGCTTTAAGAAACGACCTGTTTGTTCCACATTGGTTAGTATCAGGGAAGTTAGGAGAGGGAACAACAAAGCAACAGTTGACCCCCTAAGACAAGGGTCATAGGAATAGCTGACAAGTGGTGAAAAGTGAGTTAGTGTTGTTCCACCAGCAGCCATCAGGCGCCACTCAAAGAAATGAGGTCTAAGCACCACCAAAAGTGGTGGTTGGTGACGTCTGGTTTTCTGCTGCTTAACGTAAGCCACAGAAGCCTGAGGGACATTGTAGGAAATGTTCTTAGACGTGTACTGGCAGTCAGCAGAGAGATAAGCCAATTGACCCAAGAACAGAATGACTCACGACATCAGGTAGACCCAGCAGCGTGCTTCCAAAAAGGAAAAATGTTACATAAAATAGAATATTGAAAATGAGTTCTTTTGCAAGGTACAAGAGCTAGGGCTCTTAGGGGTGACTTACAATTGCTGGTGAGCTTAGAAGACCTTCAGGTTTGAAGCAGTAGGCTCTCCTTGGGGAGAGATTGGGCCACTGCTGAGCTGAGAAAGGCTAGAAGGCAGTGGATAGGTAAAGAAAGGTTTCTGGAGAGTGGGGTCAGAAGCACTGAAGACTGATAGATTTACAGTTCCATTGAAGGCTATGGTCCCTGGATTCTGCTGTGAGGGGGTGGTGGTACTGGAGTGTGATTCATTCCAGTGGCATGAGAATATAAGATTATTCTGGGCCAGACAGGATGGGCTTCTTTATCATGTAGGTCCCTCTAGCTGTTATTCTTTTGCTCTGGTCCCTTTAAGGGCAAGCCACGCCCACTCCCAGCCACTTCTGACCTCCTGGTCACCATCTTAACTCTCTCTCTCTTCTGTCCCCGTCTCTCGGCCTGTGCACGTATCTCTCTTTGTCTCTATGTTTTTATGTCTCTATGTCTCTCTATCTCTGTCTCTCTGCCTCTTCTTTAAGTAATAAATGTTTAGCTTTATGTTTAGCCTTATGTCTATTTGCTATTATCTGCCACACCCGCCTGCCTGCTCTCCGGGCCGCATGGCAGGACCAGCCTGCCACCCTGGGGACCTTGCAGAGACCCACAGCCGTTCTTGTCGGACTAGGGCTGCTCTGCGAGCCTGCCAGGGAATATGCCAGCATTAAACAACAACACTAGCAATATCAAGTGTTTGTCTTTGAATGATGGGTGTCTCCAGGGTCAGGGATTCCACAAATTGTTCTTCTGGAAGAGAGCCTGTGTTTATGCCATTAAGCACACCAACCGACATTGGTGTGGTCCAGGTAGATCAGGAGGAACCAGGCAGGTTGCTACGCATGTGAAAGGAGGTTCGTAGGAAGCCTCTCTGAGCAAGGCTTCCAGCATCTTCAGCTTGCAGGATAATGATCACAGGTACTTATGAAGACCTTCAATAAATTCAATAAGCTCTTTGATACCTAGTGAAGCTCATGACCAACACTCAACAGTAGCCCCTTTCATGTAATGAAATTTCCAACTTACATAGCAATCCACAACTCTTTTAGAAAGCTCTATAATTAATCCAAGGCACATTTGTCACTTAAGACATGCCAGAGCCTTTGTCTTATTTTAAAGGGACAGAAAGTGGATGTGATGGGTTACAGCTGCAGCTGCTAGCTCACTGCTG